CATGGCTATGATTAGGATGGTGTCTGTCATTTTGCTTTTTATTTTCTATATTTCTTACAAGTTTTGTTTCTTTGTTTCTCTGTCACTTTCTTCTTTCAAGTTAAACAGATGTTGCTAGTGTAGAACTTTTCTTAATGCTTACTTAGCCGTTTTCAGGGTTTCGTCTTGGTGTCTACTCTGATTGTCATAGTTCCTCCTTCAATTTACACCAATCTGTCTTTTACTAATACTTTCTTGGTTTCAATAGTTTACAGATCTTTGTTCGTGGGAAGCCGTTCCCTTCTCTCTGTCATGTTATTTTTATAGAAGTCATATTTATTGATGGGTTTACATTGCATGCCCATCACCTCAGGTTGCAAACGGATGCCTCAGGTTGCTCTCCTTTAGATCAGCGGGGGAGAGATGGCAACTTTACTCATTCGTCTCTCTTTTGTGTTTATTTCTGTGGTTCCCCTTCCGCCAGCGTTCTTTATTTCCTCACCGACATTCAAGTCACCCCTGTAAAGGCCAAAACAGCTCTAGCCTCAAAGGGCGATAAGAGAGTTTATTTTGGAGCCCAATTTGAGGGACCATGGTTCACAAAACGTGGATCTGTGTTACCCCAGGTTCCGTGTTGCCGCTGGAAGCAGTTTCAGGAAGCTTTGTATGGCAGAGCACAGAAAGGCATGAGTCAGCAGTGGGTACATGGGAGAAGCGGGTCACAGCCCTGAGGACAGGCCTTGGGTGTTATCTGACAACATTCTTGGCCTTTGCATTTATATAAAATAGAGTTTTGTGAAGTTAATACATTACAAAGGTTTTTATCTGTTTATCAGGATGTTGGATCTGATGAGTGAGTGAGGAATAGCTCTTTAGTCCACTAGACCCCAAGATAAACTGTCAATTAGGCTCTGAAACTGCACCATTCCAAACCCCCACACTCAGTTCATCAGCCTTGCACACGGCTGCTTTCCAGAACTTTCTTCGCACTGCCTAGGGCTCTTTTCTTTTCTCCTAAAGGACTCCGGTTAGTGCCCCTCACCAGGTGATCTCCCAGTGACAAAGTTTATTTACCTGGGAGTGTCTTGATTTACTTTTATTTTTGAGAAGTGTTTTGCTGGATGTAGAGTTCTTATTCTACAAGGTGTTGGTTTTCTTTTTAATTTTTAAATTACTTAGTGTGCGTCTCTGTGTGTGTCTGTGTATGTGTCTGTGTGTCTGTGTGTGTCTGAATGTGTGTGTCTGTGTGTGTGTCTCTCAGTGAGCATGTGTCTCTGTGTGTGTGTCTGTGTGCGTCTGTGTGTGTGTGTGTGTCTCTGTATGTGTCTGTATGTGTCTCTGTATGTGTCTGTGTTTTTCTATGTGTGTGTCTGTGTGTGTTTGTGTATCTGTGTGTGTGTGTGTGTGTGTGTGTGTGTGTGTGTGTGTGTGTGTGTGTGTGACTCGTATGATATGGAGGTCAGAGGGCAACTTGTGGGACTTAGTTCTCTCCTTCCACTGTGTGGGTACCAAGGATCAACTCAGGTCATCAGGCTAGGTGTTAAACACCTTCATCCACTGAGTCATCTCATTGTGTCTCCGCGCACGCGTGCACGCACGCATACACACACACACACACACACACACACACACACACACACACACCTCCACCATTTTGAATATATCATCCCTTGCTTCCTGGCCTCTACTGCTTCTGCTGAGAAATCCACCTTTTGACTTACTGGAGACACCTCATCTATGAGTCATCCCCCTGCCCCACTCCCGATTTCCAGAGTCTCCCTTTGTTTGTCTTTGTCTTCTTCTTTTTTTTTTTTTTCAGTTTAAAAAGCATACTAAGCCAGGCAGTGGTGGTGCACACCTTTATTCTCGGCACTAGGGAGGCAGAGGCAGGTGGATCTCTGTGAGTTCAAGGCCAGCCTGGACTACAAATCGAGTTCAAGGACAGCCAGGGCTGTTACACAAAGAAAACTTGTCTTGAAAAAACAAAATAAAAAACAAAAATGGGTTCATCAACAGTGACATGAATTGTAGCATACAGTGGGCAGAAAAATGTTCCTTGGTATTTTCAAATTCCTGACATGATATTCTTTGAGATTAAGGGTATTTCCACATATTCTCAGAGTTTTCAAAACTGTATTTTAAACATACTTCTACCAATCTTCACATGCTATAATTTGAATAGCTAAAAATTGTAAAGACTAAAGTACTCTTAAGTTTATTAGTACTTTCAAAAACTACATCTACAGGAATAGGCAATAACAACATACTTTAAAATTTAGGTCTCATGATAAAGTGATAGCCCTTCATGGGATCACATGTGGACACCGTCCACTTAAGGATTATTTTGCAATGAAAATGCATTAGACATTGAGAGAGCACCCAAAGGACTTACACAGGGTGGTCTATTTATGTGAACTCACTAGTGTGGATTTTGTCTTTTTTGTTATCATTCTTGTTCTTGTTTCCAAATGTTACACTACCCACACACACATTTGCTTGCATATACATCTATATACATTGTAGGCTCACGTTGACATGGGGGAAGATCATGCAGTATTTTTCTTTCTGAGACTGAGTGACCTCACCTGATATGATGCATCCTAAGTCCATTAACTTCCCTGAAAATTTCATGACTTCATTTTTCTTTAGGGCTAAATAATAGTGCGTTTTACATACACACCAGATTTTCATTGTCCACTCAGCTATTGTTGGACTAGCTTGGTTCCCTCTCTTTGCTATAAGGACAGCAGTAAACATGGAAGAGTAAATATCTCCTTGGTGTGGAGTTCTCTGGGTATATGCCCAAAGTGAAATGGCTGGGTCATATGGTAGTTCTAGTTTTAATTTTTTTGAGGAAACTCCAAACTGATCCCCACAATAGATAGATGTGTTAACTTCCACCAAAACTGTGAATACGAGTTCCTGTCTGCATCACCAGCCCAACGCTTCCTGTCAGATTCCTTAGTGACCACCATTCTGACTGGGGTGAGGCAGTAGCTCCACGTAATTTCAATTCCTCAATGGCTAGGGATGTTGAAAACTTTTAAAAGTAGTTATTGGCCATTTATAACTTTTTATTTGAAAACCATCTATCCAGTTCATTAGTCCATTTGTTGATTGGCAGTTTTATTTCCTTGGCATTCAGTTTCTGCAGTTCTTTGCAAATTCTAGACATCAGCGCCTCATCTGAAGCGTAGCTGGTAAAGGTCTCCCACTCTGCGAGTGTGGGCTCTGCTGTGTTTTGTTGCCCTGCAGAGTTTTTTACTTTCACGTGGTCAACTCTGTTGACACTTGGGACTGGCTCCCATGATTTGGGGGTTCTTTCCTACTCCAGTGTCTTGAAGAGCAGGCCCCGTGCTTTCATCTGGAAATGTCACTTTGTATTCTGAGGAACAAATTCATCAGAACTGGTCTGAAATCTCGCTTGAACGTTTAATAGAATTCAGCAATGAACATGTCCCATCCTGGCTTTCCCTTGTGGGAGACTTTTGATTACATCTTCAATCTCCTTGCTTGCAGTGAGTGTGTTTATTTATATCTTCTGGCTTTAATTTTGGTAGATGATACATATTTAGAAATTCTTCTATTTCTCCTAGGTCTTCCTAGAGTACGTTTACAAAGTGTTTGCTAATAATATTTTGTATTTCACTCTAGTCTGTTTTGATGGCACACTTTTTTAAATCTCTAATTCTGAAGTATCTTTAAAACTCCACTCCCTCTTAACGTTCTGTGGACCCCAGTAAAATAAGCAAGTTAAGCCGGGCGGTGGTGGCGCACGCCTTTAATCCCAGCACTCGGGAGGCAGAGCCAGGCGGATCTCTATGAGTTCGAGGCCAGCCTGGTCTCCAAAGCGAGTCCCAGGAAAGGCGCAAAGCTACACAGAGAAACCCTGTCTCGAAAAACCAAAAAAAAAAAAAAAAAAAAAAAAAAAATAAGCAAGTTAAATGCTTTCTCCCTCCACAATGAAAGAGCCCGGGCACAGGCACCATCAAATCAAAGAAAAACTGAAGTCCGACGGTGTAAAAAGTTCAGTGCTTGGCGTCTGGGATGCACTCATGGCGCTCCAGGCTCCAGCAGGCTCTGACAGCAAGGCTGACTGACTACCATCCATGGCACATGCAACTTGTCCCTAGACTCAGGCTAGTGCTGACTGTGCTGGTTATCCCAAGGTACTGGCATCTCCAAATTGTTGGAGTCTGCACTGCAAGCAGGCTGTACCTGCACCAATGGCCCTTCCTGGGCTCTCTTCAGGGACCCTGACCCTACCACATAGCGCCAAGCCTTGGCTGCTCTCCATGACCCCATCCATCATGCCTTCAAAACCAGCACCACCCGGAAAACTACCCGGTTCTTCTGCCAGCACTAGGTAAAATGTTGCTCACCTCTAAAACACAGCTCTGTGTGCTGGCCCTGAGGAAATACTTCCCAGAATACCTCAGTGATCCTGGTCTCTTCTTTTTTTTTGGGGGGGGGGGTGTGTTTCGAGTCAGGGTGTAGTTTTGGTGCCTGTCCTGGATCTCACTCTGTAGACCAGGCTGGCCTCGAACTCAACAGAGATCCGCCTGGCTCTGCCTCTTGAGTGCTGGGATTAAAGGCGTGTGCTACCATTGCCCAGCCTCCTGGTCTCCTCTTAATCACAGTGATTCTTCAGCCCCAGTTAACCAGTGATAAAATACCAAGACCAAAAGCAACTTGGGATGGAGGGTGTTTATTTCAGCTTACACTTCCAGATAGCCATCATCACTGAGAGAAATCAGGACAGGAACCCAAATGGAGCAGGAACCTAGAGGCAGGAGCTGATACAGAGGCCATGGAGAGTGCTGCTTACTGGCTTGCTCCTCGTGGCTTGCTCAGCCTGCTTTCTAACAGAAGGACCCAGGACCACCAGTGCTGGAGTGGTTCCCTCTACCGTGAACCTGGCCCTCCTATATCAATCATCAAACAGGACAATACCCCCACAGGCTTGTCCACAGGCCAATCTGAGGGGGGCATTTTCTCAAATGAGGTTCCTTCTTCCTCAGTGACTCCAGCTTGTATCGAGTTGATGTGAAGCTAGCTGTACATCTCTGATCTTGTGGATGCTGGAAGCCTAGGTGAGTGATGTTCTCTAGCTCTGGTCCTACAAAAGCCTCATTGTATGGTATTGTCTGGTCCCACCAGAGCTGGAGGCCTGTTGTCTTTGCCTTTTGACATTTGGCTATGAGGTGATTGTTGGGAGTCACTCTGAACTGATCCTCCTTGAAGTGTGTAGAGTACTTGAAAGTATACGCCAGGATCTGTCAAGATCTCTAAGCCTTCGTCTATTATTTCATCAACACCCCCCCCCCATCTGGAACCCTCATTATGCTAGTGTGGCATGCTCGATGGTGTCCATTGGACTCTGGCGTGTGGCTCAGCTCATCTTTCACTCTGTTATTGAAATGTGATTGTCTCAATGGACATTGATTTTCTTTTTCTTCTACTTGCTCACAACCGCTGGAAAGTTGTACTGATGAGCTTTTCATCTTAGGTGTTAAATTTTCAATTCCAGAATTTTTTTTTTCATGAAGGAGTGAGAGACAGGGTCTCACTACATAGCCCAGGCTAGCCCAGAACTGGCCTTCCTTCTGCCTCAGCGCTGAGACTGCAAGTGTGTCACCAAGCCCATGTCAGACTTTTCCACGTGGACATAGATGAGACCATTTTTGTGGTTTTATTGGCATTTCTGTTTGTTCTGATAATGCTCTTTCTGTTGGTATGGCCTAACTTCTCTGTTTGCCTTTTTTTAATCATATGAATATACTTAAATTTTAAGAAACATGGTCTTACTGTGTTGCCCAGGCTCGCCCCAAGTTCCTGAGTTCAAAAGGCCCTCTGCCTCAGCCTCCCTAGCAGCTGGGGCCACAGGCATGCACCACTAAAATGGATCTAAACAGCAGCTTTAAAGTCCTTGTCTAGCGAGTCCAACATCTGTACTTCCTCGCAGACAGTGTCTACCGGTTATTTTTAGTTCCCTGTCCATGGGCCAGCCTTGTGTCTTCCAGTGTTCCTATTGTTTTGTTAAAAGCAGGATGATTCATATCATACATTGTTGACTACCCCGAACACCAAATTCTCTATCTCCAGAGAATTTGAGTTTTGCTTTTTGTTTTGTATATTTTATAAAGTTGATTATGCAATCTATTTTTAAAAATTATAGCCTGAAGTCTCCTCAGTTACCAGGGTTGTTTCCAGAATGTTGAATGGTCTGTGGGTATTCATTTCCCCAGATTTCCCTTTCAAAGATTCTGGTTAGTCTGCCGTGCGTTAGTCACTGCCCCAGACATCCATGAAGTTACTCAGTTGCCTGAAACTGTTTTCAGTGAATGCCCTGTAACAAAAATGCCTTTCCCTTTGTGTGAGCACAGAGACAGGCCGTGAGTAGACATCCTTCCAAGTGGGTTTTCTGTGGGCTACTTGACCAGAGTGTAATGGTAGCCATTTGGCAAAGGGGTTTGAAAGCCCTATGAGCATGTCTGTTTCCTTAGGTGGCTGCTAAGATTATCATTTTGCTAGGAATACGGGTTGTAACATTTTAAGGTTACTTGGGGAGATGTAACTAAGGCTTAGAATTCTAACCAAAAGCCAGCCACTTTCCATATATATATATACATACATACTCCCCAGACTTCTGCAATTTGATTCATTTTTAACATTTGAAGAAAAAAAAAAGATTCTGACAATTTTTACGCATTTTCTAATGGCTTTTAAAATGTTTTAATTAAAATAAAATCACATCACATATCATTTTCCTTTCACCCCTGCAACCCCTCCTGTGTCCCTTCCTCCTTCTTCCTCCATGTTACCCCTCACACTCTCTCTCAAATTGGTGGCCTCCATTTCTTTTCTTCCCTTTTATTCAAAATAGATTTTTTATACAATATATTCTGATTATGGTTTCCCCTCCCCCAACTCCTCCCACTTCCTCCCCTCTTCCCCTCCCATCCAGATTCACACCTAACAGACATCTAAGAAATAATAATAACATAAAATAAATACAATAAGATAAATCAAAAACAAACAAATTGAAATATGACAAAACAATCAAACAAGAGAAAGAGCCGAAGAAAAAGCACAAGGCATGCATATAGACACGGAGACACACATGTTTGCACACATGCACGCATGCACGCACACACACACACACACACACACAGGAATCAAAAAAAACCCCACAAAACTGGAAACCATAATACATATGCGAAGGGCCTATCAGATTTTTTTAATGTCCTGACTTAACATTTATGAGACAAAGAACCTCCAAAGATGTTGTTGACTTCATTATCTGTTGGCCATCTACTGCTGCACATAGAGCTTACCCTTAAGAGTGGTTTGTTTCCTTCCTGGAAGAAAACTACTTTTTCATTTGCAAGTGGCTATCAATTGGAGATAGCTCATGGATTAGGGATGGGGCCGTGTGTCCACTTCTCTCAGCTGTAGGACCCCATGTGGTGCAGACCCATGCAGGCCTGTGCATGCTGCCTCGCTCTCTGTGAGATCATATGTACACCAGCCCTGTTGTGTCTAAAAGGCCTTGATTCCTTGGTGTCCCCATCTCCTCTGGCTCTTACACTCTTTCTGCCTCCTTTTCCACATTCCCTGAGCCATGAGGGGAGGGATTTGATGGAGACATCCCATTTAGGGCTGAGTGTTCCAAGGTCTCTCACTCTCTGCATATTGTCTGGCTGTTGGTCTCTCTATTTAGTCCCATATGTTGCAGAAGGAAGCTTCTCAGCTAATGGCTGAGCGAGGTACTGATCCATGAGGAGAGAAGAATGTTGTTAGGAGTCATTTTATTACTACATCTCTTTAGCTAAATAGTAACATTTGGTTTTACCCTGTGTGATAGTTTGAATGTAACTGGCCTGCTTAAGCCCAAAAGGAGTGGCACTATTAGGAGGTGTGGCCTTGTTGGAGGAAGTGTGTCATTGTGAGGGTGGGCTTTGAGGTCTCCTTTGCTCAAGCTTCACTCAGTGTGATACTCAGACCACTTCCTGTTGCCTGCAGGTCAAGATGTAGGGCTCTCAGGTCCTTCTCCAGCACCATGTCTGCCTACATGCCACCCGGTTGCACCATGATGATAACAAACTAAACCTCTGAAAATGTAAGCCAGCCCCAATTAAATGTTTTTCCTTTATAAGAGTTACCATTATAGATCAAAGGGTTTGTAGATGGGTTGGTGTTTACCTTCTCTTATGGTAGTGTACAGAGTACCTCCAAGTACCCTGACGCTAGTCAGTATGGGTAAAGGCTTTAGGTGGGTACCAGCTTGACTTCTCTATGCTCAGTGATTTGTGTAGATGTTGTCTCCAGCAATAGAGCCTTTCTGTCTCTTGGTGGAGAATCAATAACCTTGGCAATAACCTGACTTGTTTGGGGGTTCCCATGGAAACCCTGTGGCCAAGAACTTGATTAGATATAACCCATTTCTAGTACTGGAAGCTCCATTTGGTAATGAAAGATGTCCAGTTCAGGCTCTGTCTCATCCATTATTTGGTAATTTCATTGAGATCACCTTCATATAGGTATGTATCATAGGAAGCTTCTACTGTATTCGGTTTTCATAAAGCCCCTCAAACGGCACTGAATTTTAGCTATCCATCCCATATTCCATTCCTTGACCCCTTCTTCCTGCCCCTCACTGTTTGATCCTCCTATCCCAGTTCCTGCCATATCCATCCATTTTCTCTGTGTGTCAATAGTTATTAGTTGCCTGTAGTTCTTTGTCCAGGAATAAGACCCTGTGAGATGAACACCCCTTCTGTGTCCACGTGTCTATTGGTGTTGTTATTCTTCAGGTCTAGTTTAGGCAGCCATGTTGTTGGATATCCTTGGTGTAGCCTCCCTATCATTTCTGGGAGATACAATGTCACAACCAATTTCCTGGTCCTCTGACTCTTACAGTCTCTGCTCCTGTTTTCCTCGGTTTCCCCTGAGCCTTAAGTACAGTAGTTGTAGCATATAGATGTATCTGCTGGGCTCCCCGCAGTCAGTTGTCCTCTGCATTTTGACCAGTTGTGGTTTTCTGTGATGGCCTCCATCTGCTGCCAAGGGAAGCGTCTTTGATGAGCGACAGCTATATTTATCTGTGGGTATAAAGATAAGTTTTATAATGCAGTTAGAAATTATGCTGGTCCAGTAAAATGGTAGTTGTAGACTCTCCTCTGAGATCCATGACCTCACTAGCCCTGAGTAGCTGGCTAGGTTTCCAGTACCAGGCAGGATTTCCCTCTTGTTGGGCAGATCTTAAGTTAATACCAAGGTATGAGTGTCGTTGCAGCATTTTTGGGGATGTCTTGCCATGCTGGTCACTGTTGTGCTTCATAGATGTAACAGCTGGATAGGACTATCGATGGCTTCCCTATCTTGGAAGCCTGCACAGCACTCTTTTCCAGCTACTTGTGTAGAGAGAATTCTGAGTCCTTGCTCTACCATTTCCACCCACATCTCTTTCACATTTGGCATTCTACTCAAAGTGTATCCAAGTGCAATCAGTAGCCTGGACTGTCAGCTGGATGGCCTCTCGAGTCACCGTGGAAGCAAGTCTCTGGACATGTCACTGGGGGAGTTTCTAGGTTAGGCTAGTTGAAGGGAGGACACTCACTAAATGTGAGTGCCGCCGTCCCATGCACTGGGGTCCTGAACTGAATACAGAGACGGTGAGAGGAGCTGTAATATTCATCACAGTCTGCTTCCTGAGTAGGGGACACAGCGTGACCACCTGTTTCATGGTCCCGTGGTCATGCCATCCCTACCACGACAGGCTGCATTTCAAGATCTGAGCTAGAATAGACCCCTCCCGAGTTGCTTTTTATCAGGTTTGTTTGTTTTTTTTCAGCAACAAGGAAAGTAACTAACACAAATGCTTCACTATAAGCCAACTTGGTTTTACATTATTTGCCATGGAATGAAATCAGCTCTCAAGAAGGATGGGCTGAGTCTATTCTGGGAGCTCACACCTGCCACTCCCAAGCGGCAAAGCTCTATTTAATGTTCTAATTCTGTGTTGTCTCATCTACCATAGTATATCTGCCCTGGGTGTAGAAACAAGTAGCCTTCATTCCTGTCTACTGTGTCTGGCATAAAATGGGAACAGGGGTGGGAGTGTAAATGAGAACCCCAAATGAATGTCCCATGTTCTTATTTATCTGACTACCCTAACTTTGGGTAGGACATCCCAGTAATACTAAGGAGTGTCCTAATGTCCCTACTAACTTATTTCTGAACTCTGACGAAAGACTTCGGCATCCGCGATCCATGAGTGCTCTGCCACCGGCTATACGATTCCTAATGGGAATCACTATTTTGAAATTCTAGGTTAGATGCCTCTAACAGTAAGGACAACATTTCTTTTTAATGAATATAATCAAGGAGGCTACAGAATGGCTACATTTCCATAGCAGCTCCTTTCTCTGAACCCGAACAGCAAATGCTCAAAAGAGCAGTAACAACGTGCTCTGACAGTGCACATGTGTACATTGACAGTGAGTGTGTGTGTGTGTGTACATGAGTGTGTGTGTGTGTGTGTACATGAGTGTGTGTGTGTGTGTGTGTGTGTGTACATGAGGAGACATGCCCGTGGAGACCAGAGGCATCCCATCTCCTGGAGTTGCAGCTTTGGTTTTAAGTCACCCAACATGGTTGCTGGGAATCAAACCGGGGTTCTCTGCAGGAGCAGTATATACTCTCTTAACCGCTGAGCCGTCCCTCCAGCCCCAAGAAGTGACATCTTATGGTCAGTTTTGATGCTGTTGAACTGTGTGTGTGTGTGTGTGTGTGTGTGTGTGTGTGTGTGTGTGTGTGGCATGCATGCATGTGTGGGTATGCCTGGCTGTGTATGTTCATAGAGTCCAGGAGAGGGTATCCTGTGTCCTCCTTTATCAAGCTCTTCCTCTTTCTTTGAGGCAGGACATTCTCCTGGTACCTGAACTCTTGGGTAGGGTGGAATCCAGGAGACACAGTGATCCTCCTCCTTTCTCGGCTCCTCTCAGAGCAGGACTCAACCTGTTCAACCTGTTAGATAGATATTGGGATCCAAACTCTGGTACTCATGATTACAGAGCAAGCATTCCTAACTACTGGGCCATCTCTCTGGCCCCTGTTTTATTTTATTGAATTGTCAATCTTCATGATCTAATAATTGAGATTGCTAGTATTTTACTTCCTCCAGCTCACTACAAACTTTACAACATAATATATACTTGTAAAACTAGACACGTTACTGTGTGTCACTTTTCCATATTAACTGTATAAAATAACAAGTTTCATCACAGCAGTTTCATGCATGTATACAACAACTTCTATAAGTTAACATGTAAGGCTTACTCCTGGCCCAATGTAACAAACTATTCCGTGCTGTGGGATGTTCTGTATGGCAAATGTGTTGCTGATTAGTCAATAAATAAAACACTGATTGGCCATTGGCTAGGCAGGAAGTATAGGCGGGACAAGGAGGAGAATAAAGCTGGGAAGTGGAAGGCTGAGGCAGAGAGACACTGCCAGCCGCCATGATGAGAAACAGCATGTAAAGATGCCGGTAAGCCACGAGCCATGTGGCAAGGTATAGATGAATGGAAATGGATTAATTTAAGCTGTAAGAACAGTTAGCAAGAAGCCTGCCACGGCCATACAGTTTGTAACCAATATAAGTCTCTGTGTTTACTTGGTCGGGTTTGAGCGGCTGTGGGACTGGCAGGTGACAGAGATTTGTCCTGACTGTGGGCCAGGCAGGAAAACTCTAGCTACATTTCCGTGTGTGTGCTCCCTTGAAATTCACTTGTTGAGGCCTGGAGAGAAGACTAAGTCAGGAAAGTGCTTCCTTGAAATCATAGAGACCTGAGCTTAACACCCAGGACAAAGAACAGCCATGGTCGACCTCTGACCTCCACATGCACATATGCATAGAGGCCGATCTTTGACTTCCACATGCATACACACATAGAGGTTGACCTCTGCCCTCCATAGGCACACATGTATGAAGATGCACACACACACACACACACACACACACACACACACACACACACACACACACACATAACACATGTTTTCTTTAACTTCATTGTTGAGCCCAAACCCCCAGTGTGATGGCATTCACAGATGGAATAGGGGAAATGCCTAGGGTCAGGTGTTCATTCTCTCTCTCTCTCTCTCTCTCTCTTTGAAGCTTGCTATTTATTTTTTCATTTTTGTTCTCTATTTTTGAGGTTGTAGTATAATTACATATTTATTTTCCCTTTCTTCCATCTAAACCCTCCCCTAGACCTCTCCTTGTTCTCTTTCAAATTCATGCCATCTTCTTTAAAAATTGTTCTTGGGTTGGGGATTTAGCTCAGTGGTAGAGCGCTTGCCTAGCAAGCGCAAGGCTCTGGGTTCGATCCCCAGCTCAAAAAAAAAAATAATAATAATAAAAATAAAAAAATTGTTGTTATATGTGTATAATATATACTCACAAATATAACCTGCTCAGTGTGAATAATGTTACTTGTATGTTTTCAGGGCTGACATTCGGTGCTGGGTAGACAGTTGGTGCGCTCCTCCCTGGGGAAGACTGTCTCTCCCACTCTCAGCGTTCCTTAGCTGCCTGGAGTTGTTTGCGAAGGGCTGAGGCCTCCTGGGCTTTACCCTGCTCATTTTGGGATGTCCATTGTTGTCCTTGTTCTGCTCAGGTTTGGGCAGCCGTGTTGGTGAGACTTTATGTGCGCAGCTTCTGACATTCCTGGGAGACACGGTCTCGCAGCAAATGTCCTGTCCTCTGGTTCTTACAATCTTTCCTCCCCCTCTTCCTCAATATCCCCTGAGCCTTAAGTGTGGGAGCGTTTTGTAGATGTATCCATTGGGACTGGGCTCCAAAATTCTGCATTTCAATTGGCTGAGGTTCTCTACAATGCTCTTTATCTGTTGCAAAGAGAGGTTTCCTTGATGAGGGGTGAGGACTGCACTTCTCTGTGGGTGTAAGGACGAACATTTAGAGTGCACTTAGTGATTGTGCTGGTTTAGTAAAGTGATGGTTGCAGTTTCTTCTCCAAGATCCGTGACTTCAGTAATACTGGGTCGTTGACTAGGTTTCTAGTACCAGGCATGGCTTCCCTCCTGTTGAGCATTTCTTATGTCCAATTAGAGAGCAGTTGATTACTGCCACAGTACACATGCCACTACTTCAGGGGCAGTCTTGAAGGCAAGGCCTTCACCATGGGATTTGTGAGTGCTGGCAGTTTCTCTGGGCTTCTGAGTATGCAGTAAGAACATGCCAGGGAGAGCATCCTTCCCGAAGGCCAAATCTGCTGGCAGCTTTGTCTTAGACATCTAGCCTTCTGAACCATAAGACATAAATAACTGTGGTTTTTTGTTGTTGCAGCCTGCATCCTGAACGAACCAGAACATCCAGGATTCCAGATTTTAGCAAAATGTGTTCAGAAAGCCTAAAGAAATAACAAATCTCTATACTCCACAATATTGTAAAATACAGTGTGTGTGTGTGTGTGTGTGTGTATGTATGCATACACAGGGGCGCATGTATGGATGATTGTGTGTATGTGAATGCATGCAGAGTTCAGGAAACAATGGTGTCTTTCCTCCTCAGGTGCCATCTGCCTCATTTTTTGATACCAAGTCTTTCACTGGGATCCAGGCTTCTCAATTTATATAGACTTGCTGGTCAGTGAGCCCAGAGATCCTCCTGTCTCCACCTCCCCAGCACGGGGATTAGCAGGATGGGCCAGCTCATCTGTCTCTTTATGTGGGTTCTGGGGATCAAACTCATGCCTGCCCAGCAAGCATGTTCCTGACTGATCGTCTCCCAAGACTTTAATACGGCTTTTCTTCCCACCTGCAAGGTTGCTGGGGAGTTTGATTGTTAATATTTCAAAAACACCTTTGAAACTGATCACAGAAAGATGAACATGATTGATGAAAGTACTATCCAAATTCCAGACATGGCTCTGACTTCATACGAAATGTGTGTGGGTCACAAAGATGCATACTGCTTTCTAAATTTCATAACAGCTTGTGTAGCATGGATGTCAGATTTCTTTTTTTTTTTTTTTTTTGGTTTTTCGAGACAGGGTTTCTCTGTGTAGCTTTGCGCCTTTCCTGGAACTCGCTTTGGAGACCAGGCTGGCCTCGAACTCACAGAGATCCGCCTGGCTCTGCCTCCCGAGTGCTGGGATTAAAGGCGTGCGCCACCACCGCCCGGCAGATGTCAGATTTCTATCTAGCTCTAAAAGATATTATCCTTGAGTTTAAAAAAAAAGACATGAGTATGAGGACATGTTGGGGAGTTGCAGAGGAGTTAGAAGTGGTGGATATGATTAAAATATGCAGTGTATGTCTATTGAAATCTCAAAGAGCAAATAAAAATGCTATAACTAACAAATGTTATCCCTGATATTCCTACGAAGCAGTCAATATTAAAGAATAAACAGAATATCAAAAATGGGTTTTCCACTAAAAGTGCATTAGACTTACCTGCATTCTCACCCTGGGGCACAGGGGACATTTAATAAAAAAGAAACCGAAAGGGGAGATGAATGTCAGCAAAGTGCTGGCCAGTCACCCATGTGAAAAGCCAGGCAAAGCGATCTGTGCCTGTAATCTCCAAGCTGGCAGGTGGGGACAGGAAGGTCTCTGGGACCTGGTGGCAAGTCGGTCTAGCTGAATCAGAGCTTCAAGTTCAGTGAGAGGCCCTGTCTCAAAAACTAAGGTGGGGAGCAACTGAGGAAGACACATGACAGCGTCCTCTGGCTGACACACGCACATAAACACATGCATATACACATACCACAATATACACACATACACACCAAATACACTACACACACGCACACACACACACACGCACACACACGCACGCAAATACACATACATACAAATACAAGCACCTCCAGAATCCAAAATGGTCCAGGTTTTCTTAGAGCCTCTTTACAGTCACAGAGACACACCAGGAGAGAGGCTCAAAGACAGATGAAAGCTTGTGGGTTCCAGGATCCGGGCTCCGGGCTCCGGGCTCCAGGATCCAGGATCCAGGATCCAGAATCCAGGCTTTCTGCACTGGATCGAGACAGTCCACCTGGGGTTGGAGGGCAGGGTCTCGGGGCGGGGTCTCGGGGCAGGGTTGGCCTGTCTAAGGAGTAGAACCCAGACACAAATTAGAGCCACATTTAAGGAAAGGAAGCAAGGCCAAGGAAAAGGTACTATGGCTTGGCTAAGGCTAAGTGTGGACCCTAAAGGGCTCCCATGCAGGAAGCTTGGACAGCAGTGCGGTGCTCTGAAGATGGTGGAGACTTCTAGTGGTGGGCCTCATGAGGGTGGTGAGGTCGCCAAGGCTCTTCTGTGAGAATGGATCAGTACTGTCTCATAGGAGTAAGTCTCATGTGACTGGATTACTCCTCTGAGAAAAGAACGTAGCTCAGTTGGTAGAATGCTTGCTGTGAATGCAGACAGACACATTTGTAAGCGACAATATCATGCCTCAAAGTCAAAAGGTTGATGACTCCAGCCCCACGCTGACTTCATCTATTGCTCCCTTCCATCAGCAGGAAGCCATTTCCCTTTCCTCTTCTACGTCACTGTGATGTAGCGGATGACCTCACCAGATGTGGTGGTCAGAAGCAGCCACTAGAACTCTGAGACAAAATACATCCTTCTTTATAAAATATCCCAGCTTCCGGTATTTTATTAGGGTAACACAAAACAGACCAAGACAGAAGGTTCTGGGGGATATAGGAGACCTACCTTCCCATCCAATAAAATATTCTCTCTTGGAGGGAAGCTCAGGAAACTCAGGAAGTAAACACACTTTACTGTCCTAGGGAGATGAAATTTAGAAGATTCGCGGGGCTCCTCCCCCAAGGTTGTGGACTCAGTAAACTTCTGATGGGGACTGGGAGACACTGTCCTGCTGAGCTGGGGCAGACTGACACTTGCTGACCTGGCATGCAGGAAGTTCTCAGGTTACAGCCTTCCTGAGTGATCACCCATTTGGGAGTGGACTTTTCAGAGGTGTGGCTGCTTTTGAGTCATCCAGGCTCCTGTAAGTAACCCCTTACCCACAGTCCTGTAAAATCACCTCGGCAAATTCATTGGCTCATCAAGTTGGAATCCGGTGCAACTGTTACTCCAGTCTGCCCTCTGCTCCCTTTCTGGGGTGTCACATCTCCCCAGGAAAAGTTGCACATAGCATCACCTCACAATTGAAAAGCAATAAAGATCTGGAAGACCGTATCCACAGGCACCTTGCCCTGTGTAATTTTAAAATTCTGAAGTGCCCACTCCCAGGACCCAGGCCCTTCTAGTTCAGGAGGGAGCTCCCCTGTGGATCCAAGGCTCCAAAAGCACTGGGGGCTTTCCAGGACCCCTGACAATCACCTATTTTGTGTCTTTCCCAGTCTATCCTGCAGGAGGGCCCCGGAAGTGGCCAGTCAATGTAACCTTGGGCCTGCAGTCCAAGGCTGAGTGCTCTATATGATTAAACAGAAACCAGGAAGAAGGAATGGATGCCCATGGACTTGGGTCCCTTTATTTTTTAATATTTTTTAAGATTTTTTTTTTATTTATTATGTACATAGAAAAGGTGCCAGATCTCATTACAGATGGTTGTGAGCCACCATGTGGGCGCTGGGAATCGAACTCAGGACCTCTGGAAGAACAGTCGGTGCTCTTAACCTCTGAGCTATCTCTCCAGCCCGACTTGGGTCCCTTGTAGGTGGGCTGCCTTCTGCTCTCAGCATCCCTCATATCAGACAATTCCCTGAGGCAGAACTTCAAAGTCGTTTAAATATTAAAAAGCATGTATGTTGCAGGAGCAGGGGGATGGCTCCGTTAGTAAAGTGTTGTACAAGTGTGAGGGCCTAGTTCCTGTCTCCAGAACCCGTGTGAAAAGCCACATGTGGGGGCAAGCACCTGCAACCTCCATGATGGGACGAGGGTGGAGACAGGTGAGTCCCTGGGTTTTCTGCCCAGCCCGTCCATGAGCTCCAAGTTCTGTGAGAGGCCCTGACTCAAAAAAGTAAGCCGGAGAGCGACAGAGAAAGACAGCCAGTGTCAACCTCCGGCCTACACCACGAGCACGCGCGCGCACACACACACATACACACAAACACACATACACTCACACACACACACACACACATCTATATATATATATATTAATATATATATGTATGTATGTATGTATGCATGTATGTATGTATACTGGCCACTGCCTCAAACTAATCCATCTCCAGAGAGCATCCCCCAAACTCTTGCCGCTAACTGCCTTGTGACAAGTGCCTGCATGCAGATTCTGTCACTGGTACTTGCTTGCATTGCAGAGATGCCAGCCATTTGGCCAGCAGGTACCCAACCCACGGAGCTCAGGAGCCTTGCTAGGAAGGGATGGCCTGGACACACCGTCACAGGTTGTGAGGTGCTTCTATCCGCGGCTTCTCAAAGCGTGGTAGAGACAACCTGGACATGCCCAAGGCCTTTACAAGGGTCCCGACACCAACATGATCTCCACGGTGATTTTCCTATGGGAATTTGCACAAACAATAGATGGTAAAATTTCTGGGGCTTTAGATAGATATGCCATGTTTGATGAGAACAGGAGATGGACAGGCCACTCAGGGCCACTCAGGAAGCAGTGCCGAAGAGGATCCTCTTAAATGAGCAAGCTATCTGGAGGTGACACATGAAGAGGGGGACTGGAACTCCAGGCCAGACACTGATCCCTCCTGGTGAACAGCATTAGAACTGAGTCTCCAGATTCTCATGGGAAAAATGAGAATTTACTTCCCAATTTCAGCCCACCTCCAAAACAATTTTAGGGTTGTCTCCTCAGAGGGGTAATGACACAGTAGGACACAGCAGGAAAGGCCCATTAACAGAAAACCAGTTCCTTCTGGCCTGGAGACCTAACATTCCAGTGGGGTTAGCCAATCACCAGGCCAGGGCACCCCTCAGGAAGGTGGAACCATCCCCAGGAAGGCAGCCTCGCCTTAAGCCAAGCTAAAGAGATATAGCAGAATAATTATTTCCTCTAATGAAATACTGTACTTTTCCTTCCCAGAACTCCCATCCTTATCACCGTAGCTCACAGGGCTGTAGCCATGTAGCTCCATAAATCTGCTTGCTTTTCGGAATTAAAAGCACAACTTTTCCTTCCCTTCTATTTCTGTTCTAAGCATGCTTCCCTAACACTGTGGGCTTCCTCACCATTTCCGGAAAGCCTCACTCCTCACCATGGGCTACTTGTCCAACATACGGCTGTCCTCCACGCCTGCTTTACTCAAATGGCATATCTTTTCCTTCTCTCCTCCCTAGGCACCTGCTGAGATCTACAGCCTCCCACACTGGAGTTTTTCTTTTAAACGCTAATGAAAGTGTCCTTCCACTAAATTCTTTTTACCAGTGACACCACTAAGAAAGAGGAGACTCAGACATCCCCAGCATGGTATCCACGAGAGGACTGTCTCACGTATCTGGCAACACTTTGATCATAACGTCCGCATATGGCATCTGTCTTCAGCTATGGAGCTGGCAGATTGCAAGTGACCTGGACAGCTTTGTTTCCCATAAAAGCTAGTTCTCAGGGATGGGGATTTAGCTCAGTGGTAGAGCACTTACCTAGCAAGCACAAGGTCCTGGGTTCGGTTCTCAGCTCCAAAAAAAAAAAAAAAAAAAAAGCCAGTTCTCTTGCTGAGGAGATGGCTGAGTTGGTAAAGTGTTTGTTTTGCAAGCACAAGGGCCTGAGTTTGATCCTCAAAACTCAATATATATCAGGGAATGGCCAGGCAATCTTGTAACCCAGCACCAGGAAGGCAGAAACAAACAGATCCCTAGGGAGCTCCCTACGCCAGCCAGCCTAAGCTACTTAGTGACAGACCCTGTCTCCACACTGACAGAAACTGGGGATGGCTCCTGAAAACAACACCCAAGGTTGTCCCCTGGCCTCCACACACATGTGCACTTGTATACGTATGGGCACTCACCCACACAAATGTCTGCATACACCTCCAACGGGCCATGTAATTAATTGCAATTAAAGCAGCATTGCACACTGC